TTTAAACCCTGTTATATTTAAATATTTATAAAATATATTATTATTATTATATAAATATTTTTTTAATATTTTTAATATTTTTAATAAAGTTAATTTAAATAATAAAAATAAACGGGTAATAAATTTAATACAACTAAAATAACCTTTATTTAAATATATTAACCCTTTATTTTTATTATTTATTTTTTATTTTTTAGCCTTTACTTTTAAGTTTTTACTAACTAAATTTAGTTAGTATAATTAATTTAAGTTAGTTTAAGTTTGCTTATTAATTAACTTATTTAAGTTTAAGTTTACTTAATGATTAACTTAAACTTAATTTAGTTAATAAATTATAACCTTGTTTTAAGTATAAAAAATAAATAGCTTAAAAGGTTTTTAACTATTTAATTATTTATTAAATTATAACGTTAATAAAATAATTATAATTTAAAACGATTATATAAAACTTATATATAATAAAAACATTTAATATTAATAACTATTTATAGGTTTAATTAATATTGTAATATATTGGTTCGATGTTATTTTAACTATAGTCTAGGTTTAGCTTTCACTGGCTTTACTCCTAGATTTTTACTTTCCTTTAGTCACCATTGATCAAACCGATCCAAGTTCATGACCTTGTCCCATACTGCTACAAAGTCCTTAATAAATTTAGCTTTTCCATCCGAGCTGCCATATACCTCCGCGATAGCACGAAGCTCGGCCTGAGCGCCGAATATCAAATCCACACGTGATGCTGTCCACTTCTTCTCACCCGTCTTCCGGTCGAGGCCGTCGAAGATCTCGTTATCGGAGCCGGTGGACTTCCACTCTGTGTTGACATCCAAGAGGTTCACAAAGAAGTCATTTGTCAGTAGGCCAGGCTGTTTGGTTAACATGCCCACGGTAGAGCCATCGTAGTTGGCTCCTAAGACACGCAGGCCACCCAGCAGCACAGTCATTTCAGGGGCTGAGAGCGTGAGTAGCTGCGCCTTGTCGACCAATAAGGATTCCGTCTTCACTCGGGCAGTCGATTTACCATAGTTTCGGAACCCATCGGCGAGTGGCTCGAGATGACCGACAGATACCACATCGGTTTGCTCCTGAGACGCATCCGTTCGTCCAGGCTTGAAGGGCACGGAAACACCAGATGCCTTCTCTACTGCAGCCACGCCAGCAAGTACAATCAGATCGGCAACCGAGACTTTCTTGGGTGCGCTGGCCTCATTGAAGCGTTTCTGGATGTTTTCCAACGCCCCGATGGCCTTTTCTAGCTGTAAGTGGCTGTTGATTGCCCAGTCCCGCTGAGGCGCTAGGCGGATACGAGCGCCGTTGGCACCGCCGCGCTTGTCACTACCGCGGAAAGTAGAAGCTGATGCCCAAGCCAGAGATACCAGATGGGAAGTGTTTAACTCGACAGCTAGTATCTCCTTCTTTAGGGCTGCGATATCCTGGTCATCGACAAGGGCGTGGTTCACGGCTGGGATCGGGTCTTGCCAGATCAGTTCCTCTTTAGGAACCTCCGGGCCCAAGTAAAGAACCGCTGGTCCAAGGTCACGGTGAAGCAGCTTAAACCAGGCGCGGGCAAAGGCGTCGGCAAACTGGTCCGGGTTCTCCAGGAACCGGCGGGAAATCTTCTCGTACTCGGGGTCAAAGCGGAGTGACAGATCAGTGGTCAACATTTTGGGCAAGTGCTTCTGGGCAGGGTCAAAGGCATCGGGAATGATGGCTTCAGCATTCTTGGCCACCCACTGATGGGCACCAGCCGGACTCTTGGTAAGCTCCCACTCGAACCCGAACAGGTACTCGAAGAATTGGTTGCTCCATTTTGTCGGGGTCTTAGTCCAGATCACTTCTAGGCCGCTGGTGATAGTGTGTGGCCCCTTTCCAGAGCCATGAGTGTTACTCCAGCCGAGACCCTGCTGCTCGATTGGGGCAGCTTCTGGTTCACTACCGACATGTTCCTTGGGGGCGGCGCCATGGGTTTTGCCAAAAGTATGACCGCCGGCGATCAATGCAACGGTTTCCTCGTCATTCACTGATGGCATCGAGTCAGCAATTCCGAACAGCAATTAAAAAGGTGTCTAAAGGCGAATTAAAAAGCCGAAACAGGCATCATTCGCCAGTGCCCGGTCACCACAATGATGCCGGGGACATAGCTCGAGAATAGCAGGGCTGATTCGTGAAACCAGTATAGAAGACACATAACGGAGTCGTTTCGGCCGAACCCAAAGGTAGGGGTGAGGGAGCTACTTACTTGCCATGCGGCCAAACGTATCGCGGATATCGTGGGCTGCCGCAACGGGATCCGGAACGCCATCAGGTCCTTCAGGGTTTACATAGATTAACCCCATATGAGCGGCAGCTAGCGGCTTCTCGAGCTCGCCAGAGTGGACTTCGCCCTCGGGATTTTCGTCCGAGGAAATGACGCCGTGACCTGCAAGACCGGCGCGGCCTTTGGCGTACCGAATGTCGTTTCCTAGCCAGGTGTTTTCGCCACCCCAGTAGGGAATCTCATCAGCCTCCCAAGTGTCCTTGCGGCCGCCGGCGAAGCCGAAGGTCTTGAAGCCCATAGATTCGAGGGCAACGTTACCCGTCAGCAGGAGAAGGTCTGCCCAGGAGATCTTGTTGCCATACTTCTGCTTGATAGGCCACAGCAGGCGGCGTGCTTTGTCAAGACTTACATTGTCGGGCCAGCTGTTCAGGGGAGCAAAGCGCTGCTGGCCGGCGCCGCCACCGCCGCGACCGTCAAAGACACGGTAGGTACCAGCACTATGCCAGGCCATTCGGATAAAGAGGCCGCCGTAGTGACCGAAGTCGGCCGGCCACCATTCCTGGGAGTCGGTCATGAGGTCGTGCAGGTCCTTCTTGAGCGCAGCATAGTCAAGGGACTTGAAGGCCTCGGCATAGTCGAACTCTTTGTCTAGTGGGTTAGAGGAGGGGTTGTGTTGGCGAAGGATGTTCAAGCGTAGCTGATCAGGCCACCAGTCTCGGTTTCTGGTGCCAGCACCGGCCACGTTGGCCTTGACGGGGCAACTGGACTCTGCCATGATGCTGCTGCTGCTTGCAGTGCGGAAGAAGAAGGAGAAATCGAGACGTCGGACTCGCGCGCAAATAGTACGCGGGAGGCAGGCTTGGGCTTGGGCTTGGGCTTGGGACGTGACAAAGGTGCGGTAGCAGGACTTGATCATGCCAATGTCAGGGGGAGACCAAGAGCAATACGTATGAAGGAGGAAGAACAAGAAGAGGTGGCTGCTGGGAGGATCGTCAGCGACGGCGGGCAACCCCGCACTTTATAAGCGCAAAGGCCATCGGGCCATTGGGTGACGCGGGTACTTGGATAGGATGCTCGCCGTGCTGGGCAGGGTCGCTGCCCAGCCAGTCGGGTGGCTGGTTCTCGGTGGTCTCATGTATAAGTAGGTACAGTGCAGTAGTCCATCCAGCACGGTAGCGCGTCTCAGTCATGAGCGTGGTCTCTCTCTCCCCTCGCTCCTCTCTCTCTCGTCTCGCAGCAGGCGCCCCCCACAACCAGGGTCCGCCGGGGGCGCAACTGCAGGGGCGGCCCCACGCCCGCCCATGTGCGAGTCGTTCGGTGTGGTGTCTTCTAAGACGGAGGGTTCCGGGGGTCGTTCGGCAACTGTGGGTTCTGGGCCGCGTTTGGTTTGGTCTGGTCTGGTCTGGTCTGGGGAAGTGTGAAGGCGACCTGCATTACCCCTCTTCTCCCTCGCAGAGACCGCCGACTAGGTACTTAGTCAGTAAGCTAGCTACGTGCACCAAGTACTTACTTGCACACAACATGCAGAGTCCAGGACATGACTGATCATCTTCGCGGCGTGTCACGCCACTTCCCTCCATTCACTAATGGATCGGCTCCTTGGTACGGGGCAGCGCATGCATGGATGCTCTAACCATCCAGCCCGGTAGAGTGCCCCCTCGGTTGGCACTGCCCTTGGTACCGTGGGCTGTTGGTGGCAGCAGCCCCGACGGCTGTGCCGATGCCGCGCCCATCGTCGACACAGCTCATGGCCGGTGCCAGTCTCGCCTTGGCGTGTCTGTATGTAATGCATCTTGTGCTATTCGTCGCAGAGACAGACTCGTGCGACGTCCGATGCGGGGTAGCGGCAAGCCAAGGTCAACCAGAGCGTGTCGCTGCGATCGCCGGTGAACCCCGCCTCGTCCGCCTCGTCCGCATCGTCCGCATCGTCCGCACCTCCGCACCGTCCGCATCTCTGGCTCCAGGGGCATCGCTAGACTATCTATCTAGTCTACAGTGGGCTGTCTACCTACTCTTTCGTCCAGATCGCCCCGGCACCGACAGCTCGTACTGTGCATACAAGCGATCTCCCCCTCTGCAGCACAACATCAGCGAAGATGTACACTATGTGTTCGTTGACACACCCATGAATCGCCCATCGACACCACGGCTGCACAGTATCCGGATAGTTGATTCAGTGGCGCATGGCGAGCCTATCGAACTGTCGCCCATTGATTGATAGCGCTTAGCCCACCAACCAAATTTTGGTTACTGTTTATAGCTTTGAATTCTGCTCTCGGACCAAGTTCGGCGCGCTCTCGGAAGGAGGTCTAGCAATCGCGGCCTGTCTGTTATGTTACAGCAGTAGATATTATTCTCTCGTGATGCTATTGAAGTCTCGCATGAGCTGCCATTCCACACAGCGCATGGCTGATTGCAGGGAAACGATGGCTCTAACAATCGGCTAAAGGTTCGGCTGTGCGCGTTCTCCGCGTCACTTGCTCGTATCCTGTACAGATGAAAGAAAGTAAGTGATTGGATAATGTAGGTATTGCATGGTGCGTACCTACCTAGTTTAAGACAATTAAAGTGGACGCAATAATTAAGGACAAAAGCGTAAACAACTAGAAGTAACCAATAGCAAAACAAAAGTCTGTGGGTGTGTTGTACTACTTACTACTTACTACTGTAAATCTAGCGCGGGGCTTTTTTTCTAGGGAAGAAAAAGGAAACCGAACAACACAGTAGCATAAAGCACATGTGACCTCGCTAGGGGTCGAACCTAGAATCTCCTGATTACTTGTCTAAAGATCTATTTGGACGGATCATCCTCGTAGTTAAAAGCCTTGCCATTGGGCCACGAGGCCTATTATATCACTATTTAAGTATTAAATTTTATGTATAAAGTGCTATATTGCGCACCACTATATATAAAGTTAATAAGTAGTATTACTATATATAAAGGTTAAATTAAAATTAACAAAAGCTTATAATATAAAAAGCTATAAATAATATAAATAAATAAAGTTTAATAGTTAAATAAAAAATATTTTAAGTTATTAATAATATAATAAAAACATATTAATAACATAAAAATTAAAGTTAATAATTAAATAATAAATTAAAATAATTAAAATTTTATAAAAGGCTAGCTTTTTAATTTAACTTAAAAATTAATATATAAACTTATAATATAACTTTTAAAGTAAATATATATAAAAAGCTAAATAACAAGGTTAATGACGTTATAATAACGTTAGCTAATAGCTTTTAGCTAACAATGTACCTTTAAATACCGTTTATATAAACAATATTTATAAATAAACAAGCTTAGCTAAATTAATTAATTAAAACCAGGGTTGTGATTTAGTGAATAATTTAGTAACTAAAAACTTAATAAGTTAGTTAGTAGCTAAACTTAAACTTAAAAATTAAGTTTTAAGTTAGTTAGTAAGCAAACTTAAACTTAATAAGTTAGTTAGTACTTAAACTTAGATTAACTTAATGAGTTTTTAGTGAATAATTTAATAATTTAAAAAACTTAAGCTTTTATTTTTAAATTATTATTTATTATTATTTATTATTATTTATTATTATTTATTATTATTTATTATTATTTATTATTATTTATTATTATTTATTATTATTTATTAT